TAGACTAGTGAATCGAAGAATTTAAGTAAAGTAAATAAAATGACTGTATGCTATAATTATGAAAACTCTAAACTATGCTGAAACGTTCACACGATTTTAATAAAATCTAACAAAACTAAAAACTGCCACAAATCTTCATAAGTCGAATGCAAACCTATATGATACAGTAAAAAGAATTGCTAGTGTGAGTTGCAAAAATTAGTGCACACAATTAAGTTTAGATTAAATTAACACTTACAATTACTCAATACACCACAATCATGAAATATTGGCATGACAAACACAATTGTCTGATTTAATACGAATTTTGAAAAGTAAAACTAACAATTCATTAATCCATAGAATTTTATTTATTTTTTTTTATTATTTTTTTTTAAATACGTAATTAATCATGCCAATGAAAACATATAAATAAAACATTTATAAATTATATGAAGAAGAAACATTATAGAAAATCAAACATGCATATTAAACATTTATAAGTTGTTACAAACCTATTGCACAAAATTTAACAAAACAGTCACAAACCTATGTTACAAAGAACTTCCCACTTCAAAACCTCCATAAGGCTGCTCACAAAAACTATACATACCAAAATCAGCATGTTAGATTTACACTATCTATTATTAGTCAAACTTTCTATTCATCATCAGAACTAATATCTATAATTTCGATGGGAGGGATAACAGGCTTAGGATGTTCATTTTCATCATCAGAACTTAGATTGATGACAGTTGGATCAAAATTTTGTGGTTCAATGATAACCACTGAAGCAGCTGACCCCACAGACTCAGCAGACAAAGCATCAAGGTTCAAAAGTTCCAAAAATGCTTCATCCCCTGGATCTGGGACATGGGGTAAGTTTAACTCCTGTGGTTCTGGAACATATGGTAAGTCTACCCCTGGTGGTGGCCACATATCAGCAGCTATAACTGCTGACTCCTAATATGGTTTGCTTGCAACCGACGTCTAACCACCAGTCTCTGCATTTCTGGTGTATAAAACATCCTTCTATTTCCGGTATCTATGACTTCATTAACTACATCCACATAAGCTTGGTGGTGTAGACGGCTGTGGAATTCTTCTTCGTTTATTGGGATAAGGCCATCGGGTCCCATTTGGAACCCTCCCCACGTATCATTGCTATGATCGGGTTGCATTCTAAACATTAATTTAACAGGTCAGTTAAATAACAAAACAATGAAATCGTAAAACTAGCTCTGATACCAACTTGCCACGACCCAACCCATGGATTTAAGTAATTTTGGGTTAAGACGTGATTCACACCTTAATTATAGAATTTAATAAAAACTATAACTAAAATGTGAAGAAACATTTAAATAAATAAAGTAAATATTTCACATAGAATATTCGAAACAACAACATCTGAAAGCTTGAAATAGTTATATTATTTTACAAGCCAGAACTACTAAAGAGTTTACTAAAAGAGTAACTCATTATTTATCCTCAAGCTATGTACACAGTACACCCTTATAAATATGCCAAAATCATCACAAGCTTTAGATTTCAGGTTCAGTACCTGCAAAATCTATTAGGGGGTGAGCGAAACCACAGCTCAGTAGGGACATAAACCTTTTTACATGAAATTGATATAATTAAATTAAATGACGAACAATTACCCCGCAAAATATCACATTATTAATAATAATGCATGAATGAGCTTCAATTCTAATTCCCGTTAATTCATATAACTGGACAAGCAGACCTGCACGTCCCATACCATGCTTATACCACTTGGTCCCGGATGCCCATTTATATGAACTAACACCCATTTCAACTGTCCCATAATTCCCCCTTTTGTTAGTCATCTTGCCTAACTCCCTTTCGCCAGTCCCGAATCACCCAATAAAAACCATGTGCACTGTGGGATCCCTGAGACCTGGTACCTGCCAAGAGTTAGACTCAACTACACAAAAGACTATATCCATTACCCTCTTTTCCATTATTAATATCTCCAACCAACATCTCCAACTAATTTCCATGACATGATATAATTATGCATTTCACATATCTATATATCCCACAACAATGTAGCTATTCAAAATATCACCAATGTACCAACATTGTACAACCAATCAAGAACACATAGACATTCCAAGAATAACATTCAATTGTAACAAGAATATTAATCAAATAATCATATCACGCATAATATATTGTTCACAAAATTTAATTAAATCAATCTCTGTTATAGAACAATCAAGGAGGAATCAAACACGTTTTCATTGGTGGGAAGGTGATGACTATGTATGAACTTGGGCTCCAAGACTTGAATAGCGGCTGTCACTTAATTTGCCAACACCTCATGCTAAACAAGGCTTTACTCACCTAGGTAGAAAGACACTTGGAATCTTTAAAATGTGTTTAGAATGACACTTGGAGTCTTCAAGTGTGTTTGTAAAAAAATATCTAAGCTTTTGAACTTGGTCAGCACGAAATGTTTGAGATAGTTGTCAAATGCTATATGTTTATTTAATATTACTACTAATTCTAATAACTAATATGAAAATCTAAAAAAATAATATTTAAAAAAATTAACTCGTATAAATATATATGTACTTATATAAATTTAAATATCTATGTTAAGAACTACATATTTACCAATATATATAAAAACAAATATGTGGTTTCACAGGAACTGAGCCAACAGTCGCTTATATCTGGCCTTCCAGATGACATTGCTCTCTTTTGCCTGGCTAGGGTTCCCCGGAAGTATCATACACTCCTAAAGTGTGTTTCAAAAAGATGGAGAGACGTAGTGTGCAGTGAAGAGTGGCATTCTTACCGTCAAAAGCACAAACTTGATGAGACTTGGATCTATGCTTTGTGTCGAGACAAGTTGGACCGACTTTGCTGTTATGTTTTGGATCCCAACTCATCAAGAAAGTCATGGAAGCTTGTTCATGGACTTCCGCCTCGCGTCTTGAAGAGAAAAGGCATGGGTTTCGAAGTGCTGGGAAACAAAGTTTACCTGTTGGGTGGTTGTGATTGGTGTGAAGATGCTACTGGCGAGGTATACTGTTATGTTGCTTCCCTGAACGCTTGGAGTGAAGCTTCTCCATTATCCACTGCTAGGTAATACTTCTCACTTGTACTTTCTGCAGAGTTTTTCATGGGTTAAAGCTGGAATAATTTCTCCCAGGTTCAAATATATCACATTATCTGCTGAGAGAACACCATATTTCATGCAATGTTAAAGATTGGCGATTTCGTCTTTTGACCTGTCAGAGCATATAGATTTCTCATTATTGAATGCTGTCGTGATGAATAGTAAAAACTCTTGCAAATTAGTTTGCTCTTCGTTATTATTATAATTGTAAAGAGCCTTTGCTTTATTGGATTTGTGCATGCAGGTGCTATTTCGCCTGTGAAGTATTGGATGGAAAAATATATTCCATTGGTGGTTTAGGTTCAAATTCAAGTGATCCACATTCTTGGGACATCTATGACCCTTGCACCGATAGTTGGAAATTTCACTCTGACCCAAACATTGTCCCTGAAATTGAGGATTCTGTGGTCATGGAAGGGAAGATCTACATTTGCTGCGGGACTTCTGCTGTAACTTCTCATGTGTACGCTGTTGTTTATGAACCATCAAGTGGCACATGGCAGCATGCAGATGCCGACATGGTTGCCGGCTGGCGGGGTCCAGCAGTTGTCATAGATGGGACCCTCTATGTGTTGGATCAGAGTTCAGGAACCAGGCTGATGATGTGGCAGAAGGAGTCTAGGGAGTGGATTCCTGTTGGGAGGCTGTCATCCTTGCTCACCAGGCCGCCCTGTCAACTTGTAGCTATTGGGAAGAAATTTTACGTTGTAGGAAAGGGGCTTAGCACAGTCATGTTTGATGTTGAGAATGCAGGGAATATGGAAGGGGTGATGGTTAGTTCTTCAATACCTAAATTGAATTCTGATGATGATGTAATCAGCTGTAAATGTTTATCAATTTGATTTGAAATTATTGTTGCCGAAGGAGTCTTGGAAAACTACCATTGTATAAAAATGAAACTATTTATAAGAATTTTTGGTTTACCCATTCTTGATTAAAAAGTATAAGCTAAGATGCTATTTATAACACTTGCACCGCTAGACATCCCCAGGGGTTTGAACTCGACGTGATTGGTTGTGATGTTGTGGTAAGATTTGTGTATTTACTATATATACCGTCTAACGCAGTCGGTAGGGCGCAAGGCTCTTAACCTTGTGGTCCTGGGTTCGAGCCCCATGGTGGGCACTTACAAATGTTTTACTTCTTTGTTCGTGTTCATACAGAGAAGAGAACCTTTAAAAACCAAAAACCAAAAACCAAAATACCTTTAAAAAATATTGGACTTTCAAAGTAAGTATTTTGTTTCTTACACTGACGGAAAGATAATGTTAGTAAAGTGCCTTTCCCAGATTGACACAACAGTTTCATTTCTGTGATTGAATCACTTAACTCAAATTATTCCATTGTTTTATCCATACGAGCAATACAGTAAAAGGCAATCAAAGCGTCTACATTCCCTACATTGAGATAACATGCTCGAATCAGAAAAAACCATGAGGTACACAAGAACGTCATACCAAATACTTCTTGGGTGAAGTTCCCATTAAGTTCTTACAAATAACGGTACAACTCATTTACTATAAAATAAATGGTTCCTTGATTTCAATGAGATCCCTTATCATCATCACTCAAGTACTCGAATGCTAGTACAAATAGCAGTCCTTCGTCTCGTCCATCTTCAACTGAAAGGAAAACATGTCGTCTCAAAGGTGCCTGTGCTAAAGACGAAGGGAAGCATGATTATAACCAGTGAACAAAATCATGCATGCATGTTCCTTTTATATAGCAAAAGAAAGAAAGTTCATATTTCCTTTTTATAAAATATTAATTATGTTCTATAATATCTACACGCATTTTGGGATAAAGAACAACTAACTTGTATCATTGAATTTCAAAAATAGTATGTGAGAGAGATAGTAGTAATTACCATTTATCTAGTATTAGGCATCCTTTGCCTGATGATTTCTGCCTTCACGTACAACCAATCTGTGAAACAAGTCCAGAAATTGAAGTATGTATATCTGTATGACCTGTTGAATAGAAGAGTGCCAAAAACTCCCCAAAATCCAACAGCAAACCCAAGCCCCAAGCTGATATAAAATCCTTGCGATATGAGCCCATCTTTATTGTCTTGATTCACCAACACAGTTTGTCCTGGACCTTTTTCCTCCTCTGCGCATGTCCTTAGGAGTGGCAATCCACAAAGTAGAGGATTTCCACCATAAGAAGATGGACCAAAGCTTTGGAGCTGGGTGCCTATTGGAATTTTTCCAGACAAGTTGTTTTCTGACAAGTCCAAGTAACTAATACGATCTATCCGAGATAGACTGTTTGGAATTCTGCCATTAATCTGGTTTCTTGATAAATCAAGGGAATCTAACTCCTGTAGCATTCCAATCCTTGGAGGTATTTGACCTGTTAATTGGTTTCTTGATAGGTTTAAAGAAACCAAACCAACAAGATTAGTGATTTCACTAGGAATCTCCCCAGTCAACTTATTGCTTGAGAGATCAATACTCTTTACAAGTCCCAGAGTACTTTTGTATTTAGAACGTACCCCTTTCCATGTTAGAGATGCTTCCTCCTCATAATCCAAAGTATAACTTATTCTAGCTGAACCGTATATGAATGTTGGATAATTCGACTTGAATTTCCTTTCTGAGCCAAAACAATCAAATTGTTGAGACATTTGGGTATAGTTCCAGAGATGTTGTTCATCGACAAATCCAAAATTTGAATGCGTGTCAGATGGCATAATTGGGGTGGGATGCTTCTATAGAACTGATTACCTCGAAGGATTAAGATACCCAAATTTGGAAGGCTAGCCCCTAACCATTCAGGTATTGAGCATGATAAGTTATTTTCCCCAAGATCAAAAAGTGTCAACTTTGTACAATTCTTCAATTGTGAAGGCAACTCTCCCACAAATCTGTTGTTACTTAGTCTTAGTGTCTTGATACTAAACAAGTGCCCTATCGTGGTGGGAATTTTTCCAAATAAATAGTTATTGCCCAAATCAAGGAAGACTAATTTTTTAAAATGGATCCAACAATCAGGAAGTTCTCCAGATACATGATTGCTTGAGAGATCAAGAAGGGTTAAATTACTATCCTTGGTTTCACACAAAAAAGAAGCTGCCCCTGAAAAGTTATTATGGGAGAGATCTAGAACTGAAGCTTTTGATAGAATTGAAGGGATTGGACCCTCCAATTGATTCCAACTCAAATTTAGGCCCGCTGTGAACTCCAATCTAATATTTCCAACTGTTCCTCTCATTTGATTGTGAGAGATATCCATAATCTCTAATTTTTGTGACAAATCCCAAAACCAACTTGGAATGGTATCAGAAATTCCAGCATCAGAAATATCAAGCCATATATAATTTTTTTGAGTTTGAAGCCATTTTGGGAAAGACGACGGCCACATCTTACAAGACATCAATTGTATGCGTTGCAATTGGAAGGGAGGAATCCAATCAAAACTGAAGTTTAAAAGTAGTGAGTTAGATGATAAACTCAAATAACTTAATTTGGAGAGTTTTGAAAAATGAGTTTCTGAAATCACTCCTTCCAAAGAATTCCAACCAAAACCAATAGTCTCCAGCTTGGACATCTGTCCAATACTTTTAGGTATTCTTCCACTTAAGTTATTGTCCTGGAGAAGCAAGTGTTTCAATGATAAGAAGTTCGTAAGATCAGGCAATGAACCCGAAATGTTATTGAAAGAGATATCCAAACTCTCCAATGTCTTTTGAGCGCATTTGGACAACGTTTCAACAAAGTCTGAAAGTTGTCCACTAAGACTATTAACCCCAAGGTCCAACTCTCGCAGCCTACATAACTTGGCAAAGGAATTCGGGATCCCTCCTTCAAGTTGGCTATCATAGAGACTAAGATGTGCAAGAGAGCTCATGTTTCCAAAAGATGCAGGAATTGAGGAACCATTGAAATTGTTATACGAGAGATCAAGATAAACAAGGTTGGTATGAGTACCGGACAACCATTGGAAGATTGAAGAGTTGAGATTGTTGAGGCCGAGATCGACATGAACAAGAGAGTTAGAAGAATTCATGAGAGAAACAGAGGATATAATTGGAGGAGGAAGTTTACAGCGCCATAATATCAAGTTTGTTAGTTTAGGAAGCATATTAACTGCTTCCAGCCAACCAACAATGTCACTGAGATTAGTGTAACTTAGGTCCAAGTGTTTCAGACCTGAAAGATTAGGGAGCCAATTGAGGTTTTTTGCATGAAAAGAGTTCTCCTGATATCCATTAAAGCTGAGATCGAGATATTGCAAGTGTGTAAGGTTTCCAAGTTGGTTTGGAATTTGACCTCCAAAATTTGCACGAGAAAGATTGAGGTATATTAAATTGCTCAGAGATCCAATGAAATCTGGAATTTTGCTCCAACCGAAATTATTGAAACTAAGGTTCAAATACTCCAAATGCTGCAAGTGAACGAGTTTAGGACTAATCTTACCTTGCAAAGATTGGTCTCCAAGATCAAGTTTAACAACATGGCCAGTTTGGTTGCTGCTACAGTAGACTCCTTCCCATTGGCAACAATTTTTGTTTTGGGCTTCTCTTCCCCATGAAAGGAGGCGATCGCCGTCGTCACCCACGAGGCCTTGTTTGAGTGCAAGGAGTGCTTGCCTGTCCCTCTCGCTACATCCAATGCAAGGACTGCTCATGTGTAGTAAAACCACCACCAGAATTGCATAGAGGAGTTTGAAGCAGCACCTTGCTTCAACCATGTTAGCTACAGTCATGATCAAGACGAACAAGGGAAACTCTTTAGGAAAAATGTAAAGCACAACCAAAGTAAGCGTACATGCAAAACTGGTGAAGCACATATATATGCTTGTATGATATCTCAAGATTGACGAAACATAAATAATTTCAGAATTTTTAAAAATAATTCAAATAATTAATTAAATAATTAACTCGAAATTAATTTAATTAATTGAGTTTAATTTTAAATTACAGAGCCCCAAGCCCATCTTTTGACTAGTTAAATATATATTATTTATATATATTAATTAACCATTGACCCAACTAATTAGGCATTGACCCAAAGGCCAAACCCAACAAGCCACTCAATTGGGCCACTTACATAGCCCAATCCTAAGTATTTTATTTCCTAGAGAAAGACTTTCAAAGAACTATAGTTTTCCAATGTGGGACAAATTTCAATTCAATCATGTTTGCAATACCTTGCAAAAACCAACAAAGATTGACGAAACATGGTTGACTTGACTCTTTATCCTAAAACAGAATCTTGACAAAACCGCTTTCCCACTTAATGCAATCAATAAAGCCACATTATCCTAAAACAGAATTCTGACAATTTTTTTTTTTTTTTTTTGGTCTAAACCATGAGGTGGTCCTAGATGGGCCCCAACTATGGGTGGCACCTTTAAGCCTTAACCACAACTTAGACTAATCCCCACTCACACCGGGTCGGCCCGTAAGGGGTAAAGTGTTGGCCAAAGTGGTGACTCCGTACGAGAGCAGGGATCGAACCCCTGACCTCTCTTAAGAAATGAGAGTGCCGAACCACTCACACCAACCACCTTAGTTACAATTTATTTTTTTGAATGATCAATTTGGCTAATATTTTTTTATTGACCAAATTAAAATTTCGTGTAAAATCCAATGACCAAAAAAAATATTTAATCTTTTTTTGTTTTTTGTTTTTTGTTTTAAAATTCTACTCGATTGGGGGCCACGGATGGTATTGTTATCCTCATCCACCTACTAGGCCCAATAAGTAATATATTTATTTTAAGTAATAACTATGTAATTTATAATATAATACAATCAATTACTATTTAATATAATATTTATTTAGTTTTTTCAAATTGAATGGAGATTATTTTGAGTACTTAGGATAAATTTTTAAAAAAAATAAAAAATTGGAGATTCAAGTAGGGTTTGGGAGGCAACTCTCCGACGGAACGAAACCAAACTTTAAGTGGTCACTTAATTTCCATGGCTCTGTTCCATGATTTTTATTATGTCGTAGTGGAAACATTGATGACGACTTTGAAGACCTGGACTCTTTCATTCCACCGAGGTATATTATAATGCAAAAGAAAACAGAAGTGTGTCTATGCCAAACTTCATACCCAACTAGTTTTTTCCAGTCCACCGAGGTATATTATATTGAACTCTCTAAAGTCCCTTTTTACCAAAATAACAATTGTGCCTAAATAGAAAATCACTAAAGCCCTTTTATATTTTAAAATAATTTTACCAAAACCACATTTTTCAAAAGGGAATTATCTTTTTGAAGTGGGATGTGCTGGTATGCGAAAAAGAAGAGCATGTATTAATTTTTGAGACATCCTTTCAACTTGAGATCGGATTCTTTCCAATATTTATAAAGTGTTTGAGATATTCACACAAACAAAAGACCAAAACCAGAGTCATACATTTATATGAAAAAGGACTACAATCTATCATTCATCTGCTACTACTAGAAATTAAGTTGGACACTAATTTCCAAGATGCAAGTGGCCAGGAATTAACTTGAGTTAAGTAATTGAATAAATTTTGGAATTATCCAAATCAGATAATTACATTTTTATTATCTTCTTCTTCTTTTTTTCTTTTTTGTTGGGTATCAATATAAGAAGTTCATTGAGTTGGGGATTAATGGACGAGAAGACTTGTGGAAATCAAATTTTATATAGGAAGAATGAATTTGTGATCAGTGGACAAGATTTTGGGTCATTAAAAATAAGAAAGAAATGAGAAAGTGATAAATATATAGGTGAAGATTCAAGTCAATATCAGGCACAATTGTTACCTATAATACATATTAGTGGATTAATTATGCAATATCAAATCAATTGGCCTTTGTTTACCATTCGTAAATTTGGCAGGAACATAGAAAGCCAGAACATTTTATGGCAAACAGTTGATTTGCAAGTGCAAATATGTGAATAGCTAAGTTGAGGAACCATTAATCACATTTTTTTTTCCAAAAATTTCCATGATGATGGGGAATAGGATTAACATGCAAGAATCATATAGGAAGCCATGCGATGCAATAAATATATAAATAGGGTTTCCGTAGTTGATAGTATATATATCATTTCATTTAAAATATATTGCAGCACAAATGCAAATGAAACAAGAACGTTGGAAGTTCCAATTAAAAAAGAACCACTACTGAACATGGGTCTGGTTCAGTGGTCTCTTTATAGTTATGTTATCACTCCAATAATAGTATCGTCGATACCCAAGGCAAGCATGTTGTTTCAGTGGTGCCTGAACCCAAAACAACCGATACATGAGTTTATATGATGACAACAACTAGCTCAACACTACTTCCATAACCAGTATTTCCAAACTCTAGGATTTGTATGCATTAATTCCCATTGCCTAGGAATGACATTCTCAAAGAGTTCATCGTACGTACAAACAAACGTATTAATAGTAAAATTTACTAAAATCAAATCTTATGTAACAACTACCATAAATAACATGTCCACCTTTTATTCCGAAATTATTGTCCCGAAGTTCAGTAATTGCAACATCAAGACACTTCCAACTTTGGTCTTATTTGCTCTTGCCAAAATAGGTATAGGAAGGAAAAAAGAGCATTGATTTTCACATTGAGCCAGCCAACTGTCTATTAACAGGCAGCAAGCGATTCATGTGAAAGACGAGCATGCAAGAGATGAAACACGGGTTGCATTGAGAGATAAACTAAGAGGAAAGCAAGAGATAAGAAATAAAAAAAAGTTCTTGTTTTTATGTTCATTTAGATCAAGTGTATTTTGTACTGTTATTATGAATTCTGTCTAAATACGTATGTACACAAGAATATGTCAAACCTCGTAAATCTCTTGTGCACTAGTATTTTTACTCCTTGTTTATTTTATTTTGTTCAATTGTGATTTGCGTTGTGGTGTAGTTATTTATGAATCTTGGTTTAACACAGTTAAAAGCATGAATAATGATATATCTTACAATTACAATTGTAAGGAATTGATATAAGTGTGCTCTGGAGGATGAAAAACATGCTGTTGATTGCAAGCTTGATATTGAGGTTTGGCAGGATACTAATTGGTCAACCTCAGCATATGAAAAACATGGATTCACAAGAAGGAAAATTGTTAACAATTCGTAAATGTGACAGATTTGTGCATAAGATCTCAAATTGAGCTGAAATTGAAGATAAACACACATGACCAACGAAAGTGAAGTGCAACAGACTTTTGAAGTAGATATTAAATAGAAAATTAGATTAAAACCCAAAATTGGTAGGGTTTATTAGGAACAACCCATGCATTTCTAATGGGAACTACTTACCAAATAGGTTCGAGTGTCGAGGTAGTCTACCTAACAAAAGGAAATACGATTTGTGAGTATTTTTATCATATGTATTAAATTTTGAATTATATGTAATGAAAGACTAAAGTTCTTTTGCAATGATTATATTTTCATACAAATCGACCATCCAATTCAATCCAATCCAATGCGTTATGGATTGGATTAAATTGAATCATGACATCAGATTATATTGGATTGGATTGGATTAGTAAGAAACCATTGATTTTGACCCGATGCTCAGGCCTAGGACTTTGTGCTAATTTTAGATTTAAGTTTTAAATGTTTTCATTAGTTGGATGTTTGAAAGATTTACAGGCCAACAAAGCTTTGTTCCTCTTCTTCCTGATGGTTTTACTGCCTTGTCACCTTCTTACCTTACAATATTTAGGGAAATATGGAACAATGAAAACCCACATATGAATGACTTAAATAGTAGTAATAGGCTATCTGAAAGAGAAAAAGTAAAAATAAGGAACAGAAACATAAAGAACATGCGCATATGATCTTTCTCTTGATCACCTTTAATGCATGAGGATATCTGAAAGAGGAGCTTTCTGAGAAATTTGCAACAACATATTATGGTATACTTCAAAGCACGCTTTTCTTGAGTAATTACATCATCATATACGAGTTTTGATCGTATGAATCAAATTTGATCAAATTTCAAAACATGTGTCATTCTACATCAATCAACAGGTGATACAGCAGCCATTCAAGGGTTGAAAACTCGATCAACTGGTCCTTTTCTTTTTAAATGAAGGATGTATGATTACGTTTTCAGAGTCTAAATTGTCAATCTTTGAAATACACTCTGTCATCCTCTTCAAAACAATAGGCAAGGCAGCAACATTGCTGGAAAGTTTATCTCTAAACAATCGCAACTTCTCGGAAGTCTGATCTCCATCAGCCAGTAATGCCCCCTTATTAGAAGCAACTTGACCTGCCCCTGCAAAATATAAGTTTGTTAAGTGCTTCAACCACACCAGGAAATTTACCCTAAAAAAGGAAATTCCATACTACCTCTCTTTTCTAACTTTGGGGGATAAGTAGGCACTGAAAACAAAGAGTGTATAGGCATACCCAATCAAGGAAATCATGGAAAAGGTTTTAATGACAGACGAAAGAAAATTCTACGCCAGGTAAATAAAGCACCAATCTATGAGCAAAAAAACCATACAACTGTTTCTTAGAGACGGTTATTTCAAAACTTTAATCAAGCAACACCAATAGAGAAAGGGGGGAACCTAGTTGAAACAAAAGCTATTGCTTTTACTATCATAGTCCTACCATTGTAATTTATGACTCAACATTTTCACCATCACAATCACAAAATAGTTCACCCCTGCGGCCTGTGCCAAACAATAGCCATATATTCAACTACAAAAAAAAGACATCATCTCCACTTGTGTGCTACCATTAATTCAACTAAGACGACCACTTTCACACGGTGACCACCGCCAATCTTGCCTTCAATAACATTCATCCATCAGTATTGCTATGCAACATAGCAACATACCGTTGTTTCACTAATTTCCCCCATTCTTCAAAGAGCATAATACAAGGGAGAGGAATTTTATCTCTCAATTAAGCATTTCCACCGATGAGTCTCCTCTCTTGAGATGGCAAAAGAGGCACAGCATCAAAATCAGCCATGTTTGGTGTGTGAGAGCACTAATGCTAGTATGATCACTACCACAAAAGATGGATGCCTTAAACACTATGTCAACACAAGCTTTCCTATTTATATCGTTATTGCCACAGAAACATAAAAATCCATTCAAATATCTTTGCAGCCACCAAAGCAAAATTAAAATCCCACTTGGGCTCCCAAAAGGGGGTTCCTTGTACCAAGCTTTCATCTTCTGTGCAAACCAAAATTATTTGAAAACAAATGAACCTCAAGTTATAATTCTTGACATTTTCCAAGCTAGGGAGTCTTTCAGTTTCCTAACACACACACTTTACCTTACTTCACTCTTTACACAAAAGACCCAATTTTGATCTGAAATTTCTGAGAAACCCAAATAAATCATGTCTAAAAAGACCCAAATTTTCGTTCTCTATACCAACCTCGTTTTTCCTAGCTACCAACCAGACTTTAAAAGGTTTCAAACAATATCAATCTGATCTGAGAACCACGGCATTCATTATCCAACAACCCTAAAAAGTATACAAAACACAACAAGAAGTTAAAAGAAATGTACCCGAATTCGGAACTGCGGAAGTCCCAGGATCCGACCCATTCAGAAAAACGGGTTTCTGAGCAGCGAGAATTGAGGCGAAGGTGTTCTTGAGCTGATCTGGTAAAGTGGCTCTGTACTCTAAAATCTTCTCTGCCATTTCCTTCACTTCACACTCCAGCACCTCCAGCTCTTCTGGGTCGGGTCCGCTTTCGGAGCCCTGACGCTCGTTCAACGCCATGTCTCAGATCCAGAGGGAGAGAGGGAGAGAGGGTGAGAGTGACGATGGTGTGTGTCAAAATCAGGTTGGGGTTGATTTGGAGGGTAATTGTGCTTTTATTTCGACGTCAGGGATTTTTTAAATTTGAAGTCCGAAGGAGGGTTTTTGAGATTTTTCAAATTCTTTCTTCCTACTTTTCGCTTGTAGGATTATTTTTTATTGAGACATTTTGCTATTGCTTTTATTTATTTATTTCCTAGCATGATGAAGACGGGTATCTTGAGGCTTTGCATTTAGAATTTACACATTTTCTCGCATTTCGCTTGATCTTAGTCGTCATTATAATATAATGACATATAGCATGACACGTCAACAACTATAAATTTAGTTGGAGTCACAGTGGTAAAACGCATGGTATGGGACATGCAGGCTTGTTGCCTTAGGATATGAATTAGTGGGATTAGAAGGGAGTGAGTTCATGGTATCACCGCATATGCAAATTTATTTATCTTGTATGATTGCATAATTTGTATCTCTTGTGTTGTTTGATGTATGACACTTTGATTAACTGTGATAGCTGACTTTGAGGGGTTTGACGGTACTCTACTGGGCATTAGAATGCTCATACCCTAATAGATTGTGCAGGATTCAAAGGATTAAAGAAGAAGTTTGAGAAAGCGGGTTCAACTAAGCTGCTGAGTTTTTATTGTTGATTTGTGTAATTAATATTTGTAAGTAGTCAACCGTTTGTTAAAGATCTTAGTGTGTAGTTAACTACAAGCTACCGCTACTCTGATTTTGTGTTAAGTAAATTTGTATTATTTGTGGCTCAATTTCTCATCATATCATGGTTGTAGAATTTTATTCTTATGACTATGGTATGACTCACACCATGATTCGGAAATATTCCTTGTTTTCGAATCAAGTCGTGACACTTTTGCAAGGGCTGCCACTATTCATGTGAATAGTAACATCCCTTGCTTTGCCCATGCCCTTTACCATGGTAAATGGGTGGAAGTGCTCTAAGAGAAAGAACTCAAGCAACAAAGTGCCACAAACAAATATAACAATATGAAAGATTGAAAAACAGTAATAGTCGAAACACCATAAAGCAACAGAACTGACGTCTCAGAAGCAGAGCACTTGGGACCTCTAGCCTTTTGAAAGCCTATATACTTGGAGAGTAGGGGAGTCCATCGTTACCCAAGACAAAAATAAAGGAGGTTGGGGGTGGTGGTGCGGGTGCAACAACACCGATGTTGGGAGGGGGTGGGTTTGGTTTCTTGTTTTGTTTTTTTTTTTTTCTTAATTTTATTGGAAGGGCAAAATTGGACTATTAGACTCTTAACATTAAATTGAACTTATGGTAGCTGACATGTCATGTTGTAGATCGTTGGATTATTATAACAGCTGAGATGAAGCCAAATGCGGAAAAATATGTGGATTTTAAATGCAGAGACTCAAGATCCAATGACGACTATGCATTGCATTCCTTTCCACTCTTTTTATTTTTTAATATTTAAATTTCATTATCTTGTTTTGTTTTAAGTTGCATTAAATCAGGATAAATGCTTTGAAATATCACTGTTGTAGAAAATTGACAAAATATTGAAATTTTATTTGTGTCACACCTTTGTATTCGTCGTCCTTGAAAATGTATTATACGCTAATATTGTTTGCAACGTTAGTATACAGTGAGACGGCGTCGTTCCTCCTCTGGGAAACAGAAAACCCCGCCAACTCTGAATGTCCTCGCTCGCTCATCCGTTTGCCCTCCGAGGGAGAAACCTTACTAAAATCGAACCCGAGAAAACTCAGCATGGTTATCCCCTTCCATTTTCGTAGGAAACAAACAAGAAGTCAACCAAATCCTAACTTTAACTCAGCGAAGAGTACGAGGCGGCTCTCCTGCCTTTTTCGTTATAAAACCCCAGAAACAGACATTTAAGAGACCTTGTCGACTCCGACACAACATTAGAAATGCTCCTCAGACATGCAACTCCAAGCATTATCTCTAATTAATCACTCTAAGCATTCCCTTAAACATATTCAAAATCACACTTCTCTACTTAAAAGTGTTTTCCTGATTTCATCTCATGGAAGATTGCAGACCTCTTTCATCATCTCAACTGTCATCCAAGGTGATCAATTCTCATCTTTTCAAACCAGTCTGCATTTTTTTTTTTGAGTGTGAACATTGGAAAGCAGAGCAAATAGAGGGTTGGATTGAAATTTCAATATAATTTCACAGCCTGAAGTTACAACAAATTGTTAGCTTATAGGTATAGATGTTAAGCAAAGATGTGATTGAAGTGTTATGCAGCATGAGTTTTCATTTATCACAAAGTTATACGCAAAAAGTTTGAATTTTTTTTTACTTATCATCATGTAGAAGTGTCAAAAAGTTGGCCTGGACAGCCCGTATCGGCTGCTGTATTGTTCAAGCAAGGGTGACAAAGCAGGGGTGATGCATGAGTTAGAGAAAGGTGTGAAGCCCAATCTGGCTGACTATGATAAGAGGACAGCTCTTCATTTGGCATCCTGTGAAGGCTGCACTGAGATTGTTGATCTACTTCTTCATAAAGGTGCTGATGTGAACTCCACGGATCGCTGGGGCCGCACTGTAAGTTCATCCAAAAATTTCCAATTATATACCAATAATATGCTTTCTCCAATTATATGTAAAGGATTAAGCCATTTGTTGTTAATATGAGTGATCTTGCAGCCACTGTCAGATGCTCGTAGCTTCAGTCATGAGGCGATTTGCAAGATATTGGAGGCTAGAGGTGGAATAGATCCGGTATTTCACTTTCCAAATGCATTCTCACATGTTACAGAGATCAACAGATTATATTTGCTTTATAGTCTGCAGTCTGCATTTCTTCTCAATCGATTCATTTACATGTCCTTACATATTGTTCGAAATTCGAATGTACTTACTGGCAAATGTAATATTTTTATATGTTAAAGGTAGGGCTTGACTCCCAACTTCCGTGCTATGAAATTGAACACACTGAGGTGAACATGGATGAAGCGACGCTTATTGGAGAGGTAGATTTTGTTAGTTCAATTTCTTCTAGAACATAATTGCAACAAAGGCACCTCAGCGCATTTTGATGTTCTAACTTTGTTCAGTAGGCTTTGTGTGAAATATCTAACCTCTGCACCTGCACTTTTTTGGTTTTCTGTCCCGTTCGTGATACTTCATATGTACTTAAAATTTCCTAGCAATGCAGGGATCATATGGTGAAATTTATTTAGTGAAGTGGCGTGGTACAGAAGTTGCTGCTAAAACAATCCGATCCTCCATTGCTTCCAATCCCACAGTGAAGTGAGTTTCTCTATCTGCATATCTTTGATCTAATGGTTTCTAGTCATCTTATAAGTGGCAGCATAATAAATAGATCACGGCAGTTAAAAGAGAAAGTAATCACTGATAAGAAATAACAAGTATAAACTTGATGTAAACTATCATACCAACGAAAACCTCCTATGATCTTTCTCACCTTGTGTGTTGGTCACATCATGTGCATTTTAAACAGTGTGAATGTCTGCATATAGTTTTGAATTTGATAAAGATTTGGTTAGTAGAGATTTTTAGTCTGCATATATTAAGCACAGAACCATGCTATATGGTTTGCTAAAGTCGTAAATTGATGCCAGTATCTTCATTTTCCGGATTCAACCAAGTTGAACTAACTTTGCTAATTGCAGGACTATCTTTCTGAAGGAACTTGCTTTGTGGCAAAAGTTGCGCCACCCTAACATTGTGCAATTTCTTGGTGTTCTGAGGCACACTGACCGCTTGATCTTCCTTACCGAGTATCTTTGCAATGTAAGTTATCTTAATACTTAATTTCCTTTTCTTCCTAAATTCATGTTCATGTTTAAACTCTCCCAATTTTAATGCACCAGGGAAGTTTGCATGATATATTAAAGAGGAAAGGAAGACTTGATTTACAAACCGTAGTTTCTTATGCTTTAGATATCGCCAGGTACTCATATATCCTACTGATATGAAATTAAAGTTATAAATTGATAATGACCTCCCAAGGGACTATGAAAAATGTATCTTTTCATTCTCGTCACGTATCTCATTTGTATATGTTACTATTTTTTCTCCATTTTTTTACACTTTTCATGTGAACTTCTTGGTGAGGATTATGTTCAAAAATGTTGCAGAGGTATGAATTATCTCCATCAGCATAAACCACGCCCTATAATCCACAGAGATTTGACACCAAGGTACAGCAAGGAAACAGTATTAAAATGCATTTTGAGAGTGAATTATACAGATTGTTCCCTCCCTGGCAACCAATGCTTCTTCTTTGTTCTATAGAAATGTGTTACAGGATGAAGCTGGGAGACTCAAGGTCACAGATTTTGGCTTAAGCAAAATTGCACAGCAAAATGATGTATCTGGTTACAAAATGACTGGACGAACAGGTTCATGTAAGAGATGCCTTTTCACTAAAAACCAAGTATATATCCCTAGCAATTTGGTGCTAGCTCTAATGCTCTTGTCATCTTTGCTAGATCGTTATATGGCGCCTGAGGTTTATCGTAGAGAATCATACGGGACGAGTATTGATATCTTCTCATTCGCTCTGATAGTACATGAGGTGCATTTGCTTTAAACTTTAGAAATCTTATATTCCAGTAGTCATTTTTGAAGATTATTTCTTATGGCATATCCAATTTGAGCCTCTCCCCTATGTCATTTATAGTCACAGATTTTACTTACAGATGTTTCTAGGAGGACCACCTAATCTGGCAGAGGACCCGGAGAAAATTGCAGACAAGCGAGCATATGAAGATTCTCGACCACCTCTCTTCTCTTATTTGTACCCAGAACCAATCAGGACGTGAGTGTTCTTCGACTACTTTAAATGTTATCCCATATCAGGTTGTTAACAAGCACAAAAATAAACCTTACAGCTACATACAGTACAAGCATTACTCAGAAGAGCCTTTAGGAACATGTACTAAAATTTTTAGCAACCCCAAACAGGTGGAACTGTCATGCTTCATTTTGCTGCCAATTAGAATCCATTGTTCTTGAATTTGGTTTAAAAGTGAGACAATAGCCTGCAACCGAACTCAAAGTTAATAGAATCAGTAATCTTGAATTGCGCAAGACACATTACTCTCTTTCTTAAACAGACATTTGTTTTGCATATGATTATGAAGTAAGTGTTCTCTGCTTTGAATAATTTAGGCTCCTTAAAGAATGCTGGCACCAGAATCCAGATTGCCGGCCGACATTCGAAGAGATCATTTCGCAGTTGGAGATAATTCAAGAGAACTTTCAGAACAAGAAAAGAATGGGAACCTGTATTGGTGCTTGTGCCATCTTATAAGATGGGATTATGACAGACATATGTTTAGTTCTTTTTCTTCTTCTTTGGGTTTATGTATATAGGCATGTGTGTTACTTTCTGTATAACTTCTTTACAAGAGTGACAACTTATCATATTAAAGTTTTAATTAATTTTGCTTGGCACCCAGCTTAGTATGGTAATTATGCCTTCTCTCTTCCCTACCTTTCCAAATTCTTATAAAGAGTACCAGCTAGACATCCAAAGTTTTCACTGGCTCTTCATCAAAATGTCAAATTTTCAACCAACAAATATTTAAATTAAAGTTCAATAAGAAAGGGGAGGGTGCAATAAACAACTATTAAAACAGAAATGATTGAGTGCAAGCTTTTTAACGTCATTTTGTAGTCTTTATAAATTATATTTGAAGAAGAATAAACAAATCGTCTGGGTGGTGTAGTCGGTTATCACGCTAGTCTCACACACTAGAGGTCCCCGGTTCGAACCCGGGCTCAGACATCTAAACATTTTTGTTTTTTATTTTTGTTTTGGCCGGGCAAGATGCAGAATATACGCATGGAGTCTTCCCAATTGTTCAATTTTTACTGTTTTTCATCATGAGATGTTTTGGTTCATGTTAATCATATTGTGATGGTCTAAAAGCCCCAAAAAAATCCCCTTAATTCCTCTCCTTTGTAATTTGTTGTGGGATTTGGAGATAAACGCTTCAAAAATTATGTATACATCAACACAATTAAAGTTGCAGATTGCAAAGCCTGCTAGATTGTAATTTTGCACTCAAAGCCAACTATCTATTTAAAAACAAAACTCAGAAGAGCCAAAAGTATGACACGGTGACATATACATCGATGAAACATAATCCTCTACACTTTTATATTTACAAATCTCAACCCTGGGGCTATTGTAATGCATCATTTAGATTTCAGAAAGTGCAAGAAACTTATAGGTCTGCAGACTCGTGGGTTTACGTATAGGCGGCTGTATAAGAGTGTGGAGATGATCCTGACTGAGTATCTCATCCAACTAAGACTTAGGCTGACCATTTTGAAACTGCTGCTCAGGCTGGATCTTTCCTTTTGCAGCAAGCCGAGCTTGAATTAGTTTTTCTCTAGCAAGAGCCTCTCTTACATTGGTTTGAACTGAATTACAAAGGTCATCAAGGGCAAGCATTGGAAATGGCTCCTCAATAAGAACACCCACCTGCAGATATTAATTACCCTATAAGAGCATGCATCATCTACCAATAAGAGATCAAGGAGAGGTAACTCATATAACAGAGTAGCAGATAAGGTTCTCTGAAATCTTCTGCCACCGGCTTTCAGTAATTCAGTTCATTTCGGAGAATAATGAGTATGGGACTAAATTTTACTTTCAGAATTCCCACAATCTGCTTCGAACAATTTTTGATGGTCTATATATGTTTTAGAGTAGTAAAAGTAGGCGTTCTAGAATGAAACATACATGAATTTAAGATTGGTTTGAGAATGACAATTAAAGGCGATGGCACACACCATTTCTCCCATTCAGCTTATACCAAGAATGACAATTAAAAGGCAATTTACTTTGCCTGTGCCTGATTATCTCAGTCGTATTAAAGAGAATTGTAGCATACTGCAAGTAATAAATATAACAAACACAGCATTGAGAAAAGGAAAAAACATATACGTTAGAAAGCAGGCAGAGAAAGGAACATACTTCTTCAATGCAGAACAGAGAAGCAGCACTAATAAAAGTAGCAGGAACCACAATCCAGTGGCAGTCATCCCAAAGTATGATAGGGAGAGTGAGATGCCAGAGGACTAGAAACCTTGAAGTCAAGCGGGTATATGAGAGGGGGATGGGAGTACCAATTAGTTGTTCACATACGCCAATCCCTTCATGGAAACAAGAGATCTTTGATTGCTGTATAATGATTAAGTCATGTAAGATACTGATTGAGTTTCTTCATCCATAAAGCTCATATTTAGTTTCCCAAAACTAAGTACAACAAAATGCTGCAGATTTTTGAAGAAAGAAAATAATACTGATTCACAACTGCCAACTGGTTACTGTAAATTTATTCAAGAAATTATGTCACTAGTAATTTTGATTGAACTTATGCACCCGAAGTAAATTACAACAAAAATAGTCATTTGAAACTGTGATATTAATCTAGGAAGGGATTACCAACATAATTCTCCTTGAGTCTTCCAAATTTAGCAATCGAAGGCTCTGGGAGATGAACTCAATAATGCAGCTGGGTCGATGTTTTGAATTCAAAACAACTAGCAGATCATCTAATTCAAGCAAATTTTGGAGGTCCTGTCTGATATCTGAGCCATAAACGACATGACACTGCATTTAAAAGTTAACATCTATCAATGCTACCAATATCAATGTGATCAAATAATAGTTCCACAAATGAAAAAGACACAGAATCAAGTTTTCTTCAGCACAGAAAAATCAATGAAACTAAAGGTAGGCTCTAGCTCATGTTAAAAAATTATCTGAGCATCTCTCTATTGATTACACATTTACATTGGGCTTTCAAATACTGCAAAGGAGTCCAAAATTATAAAACATTACTAAAATGCCCTACCAGTCTAATTGGAACCACCAACACTCTCGATATTATATTAGTGCACAATGAAAACCTTCTGGATGTTACATTGATTTTGTTAAATTCGAGTCCTCCAAAACACAAAGCATGAAATTACTATCCTCAGAAATTTGTTTTCAATCAGCAATTCTGATGAACTTGCACCTTTTTTTTTTCTTCTCAATACTGACATAAGTAAATACAAGAAGGCATGCTAAAATTTGAACAATTAACATCGAAAAACTGAAATTCACAAACCTTCAGCGCAACAGGAAAGGCCACAATATACTGCAGAAGCGCCTTCTTCAGCTGTGCATCACTTGAATTTTCAACTCCGGAAATGATATGCCTTGCAAAATCATTAGCCCCTGCAATCACCGTAGTCCAAGCCTTCCTCCCTTCTTCGAACCTTGAATAAGAAGCCTCTGTCCTGAACACCAACAACAGCGCCAATGCCGGTGCTGTCAGCTGGTACGGCAAAGATGAGGACCTCAACACCGGAAAAAACCCCGGAAGCCAATTCAATGAAACCGCTGAATTGTAGCTCGCAATCACCACTGCCACTAAAGTAAAAGCAATGACTGGTGGTATCAAAGACAAGATTACCCTTGACGAAAGGCTTGTAAGAAAGTGCCGGAGATGGCGGTAAGAGCTTCTGTGATGAACCCATTTCTCATGGTCGTAAAGGGTTCTGTTTTGTCTGAAGCCACGCTCTTTTATGCTGTCTGCCCAGTCGGGTATGATCTGGAATATTGAGATTACGGATTGTATTGGAGAGGAAGATGAAGATGATGATGATGGTGGGTTTGGGGTTGGGGAGGGTGAGCAGCAGAGGACTTTGAACTTGAGGGTTTTAGGTTTGGAGGGAAGGGTTGGAAAAGTGTTTGGGGTAGAGTATTTGGATGAGAGAGAGATGTTGGTGGTGGGTTTGATGGGGTTTATGGGTTGTATCAGCATTTGTAGGAGTTAGGGTTTGGAGGAGGGAGAGGGAAGAAGAAAAGGGCGTGTTAGGGTTTCACAGAGTGAGTGTGTGAAGAGTGTTAGCTGAGCTGAGAGGGAGAAAGTAGATGAGTTAGTTAAACAACGGTTATATGTGAAGGAGGTTTTTACACATGTTCAAATTTTAGTTGGACAAAAAATCTGATAGTAACAAAAGTGAGTATGCTAGTGGGACCCAATATCAGTGACAGGGTCATCTGCACCGTTCATTTGAATACCCGCCAAAAACAACCTCCACACCATCCAACACATTGCCACAGCATTACCTATCACTTATATAAAAACTATATTTATTAATCCTTTTTATCTCAGTTCTTGTTTTCTTTTTGTCAGCTTCTTAAATTTCAAAGCACTGTGCATATTGTCAAGATGAGGGGCATTTGAGCTTCAGGTGACCCAAGAATCATATCCATACTGAGTTAGGGTTTATCTCAGCAGCAAGGAGAAGATCATACATGAGACAAAACATGAAATATCTTCTGCAAAAGGAACACAGGGTCCAAATATATCACCGCATACAACTCACAAGAACAGTAGAATCATTCTCAAAACAATTATCTTTCTATACATTGTTAACTGCCTATTAAACTAAGGATGTTCCTTAGCACTGTTAGGGGCCAGCTTTTCAATTTCTTTTTCAGGTTGCCTCTTTGCTCCAAAGATGAAGTCTTTCACAGAACTTTCAGCAGACTGTATCGCCCTCTTAACCTGCCATCACAACTCTGTGCAATTAGTATTTGAAAAAGTTACCGTACACCAAGTATTAACAAAACCGATATTTACCAAAAGAACCTATGACAATCGCCAATTGGGAACCTACTAACAAATTGAAAGTTTTCTAAGACAGTAAAAAAGAACATGAACAGAGGAAAGAATCTCAGCTTTTCATAACCATTGATTCAATTAAATTACAAAAGCCATCCTGCCTTATATGGAAAGAAAAAACATGCTTTACATTAAACAATCTAGTCTTTATCTACCTAATACCTCATCACTAATCTCAGCCATAATCTGTTGTAAGTGGAGCCTCATCACACTACACTTTCAAAGGCTGATATGCTATCCTTACAGAAACAACAAACTTCCATTATGTGTGCCAGATGATATATAACTTGTATCAATATCAATACAAAACAATTTTTTACAGCCCTGAAAGCCATAGTCCCGGGATGATTATGGTTAAACCGTCTTTGTCAAAATAACACATTCATGCTTTCGTTTGTTCTCTCTTAGTCTCTAATGATATCCTAGAAAAGTTGGCCTTTCTTTGACTGAATCACATGACATCCTCTAATATTCTCACTAAGAGGTGCCTCTTTTAATGACTGCACCTATTTGTAACTCCGCAAATTTTTCACTATACCATTTGAACATCGTATAGTTCTAATTTCATGAACAAGTCATTCTTTAGTACCCTACTCAATGTTCCGAAAACAAGGCCAGCCTAAGAGCACTCCCACATCATATTTTTCTACCTCTTCGTCATGAACAGTCAAATCTAGATGATAGAAAAGTTTCTTTGGTTATTTCTGGTCATGAACAACCAGATGTAGATAATCAAATACCAAGACACATATGAAACCCAATCTTTAGTCTTTCTTTCATAGAACCTAACCATGTTAAGCATATTGCAATATAAATAAAACGTTTTTGCTACAGGGTAGTGACTAAACAAGCAGCACATTAAACAGCAACAAAAGCAAAATCGATGCAAAGCAAAAACAAGATGCCCAACTAGCCCAATTACAAAACCCAAGTTTAGTCCACAACTAGCAACTACAGATTAACCCCCAAAATCGAAAGACCCCAAACATTGTGAACTAAAAGGGCATATCATGCATCTCAGAATTTAATTAGCTGCAAAACAAACAAAGAGAAAATTGTAACCCCAAGACTAGTTTTTCATTTTCCCCCTACCATTTCTCAACAAGATTCAATAGTAATTTTGGGAAAAAGAAATCACGGGAAGGAAAAAGCACATACAGGGTCGAGAGCATTGGGCTCAGAGCCATAATCAGCAGTCAAGAGGAAATAGGCAGCAGTAACGGTGGCCACCATAGTTGTCCTCCTCACCAGCTTATCAGTTTGTGAGTTCATCGTGGTAGTTTTGCTTTCAATTGGATTCTCTTAAAAAAAAAAGGGTTTAAAGTTACAGACTTTGAGACTTGGTTCTAGAGAAAGGGTTTTCAATTTTGGGGAGGGAGAAAAGAAAGTAGAAGGCGGCCTTGGAAGAAAATGGGTTTTATAAAATATCAGAAACTACCCTTTGGTTTGCAGTTTATTACACATTGTCCCAAGAGACTGCTCTGCAGTTATTACTTCTTGGCCATCTGGGTCTCTTATGTTTAACCAGTTAAGCTTATACTGACAGCCAAACACACCGCAAATATTTCTCTTCCTGCAAATCCAGAAGCCTCAAGTTCCTCTCTTTTTTCCTTTATTTGGTCACAGAAAGCCAATAGTTCCTCTCAGCTCTTCATCAATGGAAGATCCCAACCCAGCCCAGCCCACAGTCACGCAAATCGCGAACCCCCCAAACTCCGAAGAAGCTCTCCCTCCACAGCCTCCCCCGTCTTCTCTTCCTCCCAAGACCAAGAAGAGACCCCTTGACAATGATGCCCATATCTCCAACTCCAGCTACTTCAAGGTTCGCGCCGTCCTCAAGGAGATTCGTCCTCATTTTCTTGAGGTACATTTCAGACCCATTTGTCAAAGTTTGTATCTTGGTCTGAATTTGTTGTAAATTTGGACAATTTATGTGATCTGGGTTTTCTTTTTATTGAATTTGCTTTTTAACTTGGTTACATTTTGATTTGAGGTACATTATTCGGGCTTGTTTGGGTTCACAATTTGCTTTCTTGAGCATTTCTAATGATTTCTTTCCTTTTATTGTTCCGTCTCTTTCCTCTTTCTTTTAAAAATTTACAAATGTATAATCTTTAATAATTTTGTGGGTGAAATCAAATGTATAATCTTTGTCATTCTGCGTTGTACTTTGGTTTTTTGGGGTGCCCTTGGCAGCTTTCATAGGAAAGTTGGTCTAAATAGTGATTTTGATGGAAATGACTGTACTTGGTAAACATGTACCATTGATTGCTGCTTTTGATTTTGTTTTTATTTTAGAGGGTCTGTCGCTATTTTAATTTTTTTGTTGCACAGGACATTTAATATAAAGTGAAGGATGAAGACAAGAAATTTAAGGTTCAAGTGAATTGAGGTGTTGTTAGTTTGCGTTAAGTGAAACTCTCAAAAGTAGGGTCTATTTGCTACCATTTCTGTTTGTGTTTGATTGTTTTAGGCTCAGATGAAGTATAATGCGTCATGCATGCTATGTAGTCTATATGACATGGGTAGAATTAGGAGATCATGGCTGCTGTAAAGTACATAAGGTTCTGTAGAGACTGCTGGTGATAGGCCATTGGGTGTTAGCTTGGTTCTTAAATTGTTGGTCTATCAAAGTTGTGGATGTATTCACTCTCAATTAATTGCTCTACATCCTAATGTTTTGAACTGCTTCTTTTGCTTGCTACATTATGTGAAGTAAGGAGGGCTAACTTTTTGTCTCCTGTTATCTTGAAGGTTCTCCGGACCCCTGACTTTCGATTATGCAAGGCGGCCAATGACATCCAAGAACGTAAGCTCGTGAAGATTTTGTTTTATTTGTCATTTGAACACAGTGACACATAGGTATCCCTTGATTCGTATGAGAAAGCTGACCTGATTTCTTGTGTCCAACTTCCATTCACGCCCTAACTTGATTTATTAATTCTTCGTGTTGATGAAAATGTAGAGTTTTATCCTTGAAACTTAGTTTGCCGTATTTTCCTTGTTGGCCACCAAATTCTAGGATAATCGTTAGCGTAATATTCAGATGGACTTTGGCCTCCTTTGTGAGGAGACATCTGTCTTGCTCGTCTCTTAAATTCACACATGGTTTTATCCTGAGGTTTGAATTTCTTGAGCTCCATGTATGCTTGTGCTCCATTTTTGTAGTTTTTGTTTTCTTAATCCCTTTGGGAACAATTTAGAATCCAAGGTTTTCAATGATGGAGCCAATTGCATGAGAGACACTGCTTTTTACTTGTCATATGACGGGCAAGTAGAAAGTAACTTTTTATGTATTGATTATGAGATGTATTTACAACCCTGTATGTTGCAAATTGCAGAAGTGAAGCTTCTGATGGAACTATACAAACAGATGACAGCAGAAGCAGTTTCCACAGCAAGATGTAAGAATGTGCCGGAAGGCCAGCCTTTATCAGGTGAAAAGTCCCAAGATACTAGAGCTTCTGGAAAACCATCAGAAAATAAATTTCCGTCAGGTGTATCCAGCGAGAAGGCTGAAGATGGTCAAATTCAAGGGACATATGTTGTTGGAGGTTCAGCTTTTGGCTGGAATTTCATCACCTTTTTAGGCAGCGAACCAGTCTACTGTGGGATAACAAAGGAGTCATTTCGAGCTAATGGGAGCAAAGCAACAGTTTCATAATCCTACTGTTCTATGGTCTGGTTGAAGTACATTAGGAAGGGATATAAAATGGTCTCTCTGATTCTTTCTGTCTCAATGTTGTTTGAATGGTAGGGCTAGCAGAGATTCTTGAAGCCTGCCCCATGATATTAGTATAAAAGGGATTCATTGATGATTTGGTAAATGGCAATGGGTGTAATGTTTTCATTTGAATGAGTTGTACACCATGATTCTTCAAAAGGGATTCATTGATGCAGTACTACAATTTTCTTAACGCCAGGCTAATCATCTGGTAGCACATCAACTAAAAACGGTTGGGGGTGTCCAGCACATGCAGGCCTAGGTGCAAACCCAGACCAAGGTATGCCTTCTGCTGCAATATTTCTTTCCATTGTAGCCCAATTGCATAAAGTCTTTAACAATCAACAATGAACCCGAGAAAAATGATATCTCTCCCTCCTTTAGAGGCAATTCAGACGGACCCAGCTCACGCCCAGTATGGGCCATGGCCCACACTCAACTTTTATTACCCACACACAATTATCCATTTATTAAAAATGAATTAAAGAAACATCCTAGAAAGCCACAACTCATCACGTTAAGAATTGCCTGCAGCCTTTCTTCTTGTATCCCGAGCCTCTGCATTTAGTATCGGTGCATTTACACGCATTTAAGATAATGTTAACCATTAGATTAATCTAATGAACTTTAATAAGTCCACATCATCATAATTGTATTAAACAAAAAATAACCATTTGCACCTTATTATATTTATCTAATAACTCTTTAAAAAAAATATAAAATAAAATAAAAAAAGTATCCCGGCAAGCAGCAACCCTACCCCATTGCATTGGTATAAAAACGAACTTCGCTGATGATTTGATCAATTGCAATGGATGTAGTGTTTTCATTAGAATGAGTTACACACCATAAGGTGGTTGTAATATTCTTATCAATTTAGTATATATATATATATATATATATATATATATATATATATATATATATATATATATATATATATATATATATATATATATATATATATATATATATATATATATATATATATATATATATATATATATATATATATATATATATATATATATATATATATATATATATATATATATATATATATATATATATATATATATATATATATATATATATATATATATATATATATATATATATATATATATATATATATATATATATATATATATATATATATATATATATATATATATATATATATATATATATATATATATATATATATATATATATATATATATATATATATATATATATATATATATATATATATATATATATATATATATATATATATATATATATATATATATATATATATATATATATATATATATATATATATATATATATATATATATATATATATATATATATATTTCCATGAATTTCCTTGCAAGACAGTTAACTTATTGCTCATAATCTTTGTGCATTGTTGTTTGCTGTTTTGCTGTTGAGATTAAGAATGATTAGAGGAGAGAGTGATCAGACTCACTCAACCAAAACCTGACAAAAGGCTGCCAAAGAGGCAAGGGATCAAAAGCCCAGCATAAAACTGGGGGAAAACTCTACACAACATGACGGGGGTAGAGAGGCTCTGTTTATTAGCTGAAAGGAGATGATTCCAGGGGCAACCCCTGGAACCAAAAGAGTTTGCAGTAGCTTTAGGAAGGTTTTGGGTGGAAGGAGAAAAAGAGAAGGTTTCAGGAAGAAAGAAGAAAGGAGAGGCAAATATCCCGATCTTAGGCCCATGATTCTAGGCACCTTTTCAAGATAAATTGGGCTTTTCTCATAGAAGTGAGAAGAATTTCATCTTTTGTACTTTTTTGGGTACAGACAAGAGCATCATCTTTTGATAGTTGCACATTCATCCCAAATTCAGTCTTCCAATACCAAATTTCCACAAGTCTTTTCATTCATTTATTTCCACAAGTCTTCTCTCATCCATTTTTTTCGTAGTCTTCTCACCCATTTATTTCCATAGCAACGTCTATAGTGCACCAGGTCCACCTTAGAATTTTCGTTATTTCCATGAGTCTTCTCTCATCCATTTATTTCCACAAGTCTTGTCATCCATTAATTTTCCTAAATTCAATGAAATCCCTATTCAGAGCAGTTGTGGAAACAAGGAAAATCCGATGTTCTTATTTGGACACTCTTTAGCTTCATTTTTGTGCAACTATCTCCTTGTAGTATGTCCTTTGGAGTTTTAAGCACGGGAATGGCTCTTTGTGGGTTGAAGACTTGCACCGTATAAAAGATTAGAACGAAAATCGTAAACACAACAAAAGGCAACAACATTTAGAACCAACAATAAGAAGCCAAGAATAGCTAGCTAGGAATTCTTGCTTTTACCCAACTTTATGAAAAGACTATAAGTACGTCAATCAATTTTATGCGTTCCAAATTAATAATTCCAAGATGCATTCAATCACTAGCACAAGTGCAGATCATTGCTGTGGTCCTGTTTGGTGAATATGTGGCTCTGTTTTGGTCACCTGTTGCTAGATTCTCCTTGTGACTTGTGAATCTACTTTTCTTTGCAGCGTGTTTTAGACGAACCCAGCTTCGAGTGAAACAATTACTTGTCTACTTCAGTCAAGGAGAAATTTGAAGCAGAAGACAATAATGGAAACAGCACGGTCACATGAAATAAGCAAATGACGCTTCACATATGCATGTATGGCGTCCAAATTGGCAGCTCAGAAATATCAAGTTACGTAGACTAAGTAGATAGGGAGGGAGGACCAAATTTGGTAACCACTCCTCGTTTATTTTCATGCACTGAAAAGTCTCCACTTACTAAAAAAGTTGTACGTAAAGTAATTGAATAGGTATACATGTATATGTAATTGGATGTTTTTATTTTTGCAGACTCTTCGCAATCGGTGTGGGATCAGGTTCCAAAAGAATAAGCAAAAACAAGAAAAAGAGCAGAAGGCTGCGGAAGCAGCTTTCAAACAGCTTCATGCGGCCTCCAGGCTTTAGTAATTTGGATTAGAATGGATTTTTTTCCAAGCCCTGAAATGTTTAACCCTTAATAAAAATTTATTTCATTTATAATAAGCAAGTAATGAGTGTGAGAAAAGTATAAATAAATTACTAGGAAACTATTATTGACTCAAAAAAAAAAAAAATTAAAACATTCACACGGCAAGTTTTTTTGAAGTGACAATAATCATGTTTTATACCTTGTAGTTTAAAGAATAGAATTTTTTTTAAAAGCAATCATTATATTGATTTAAATTCACCTTACCAACTAGAAATTAATCTAATAATATTTCTTCTTAGTGCCAGTTTGGCATTGTGATAAGTGATTTTAAAAAAAATTTGGGAAGCCCAGACCGTTTGGTAAACTATGAGAAAATCACTTATTGTTAAAAATTGTTGTGAGAGAAAGCAATAAGGGAAAGCAGCTAATGAGGTGCTTTCATTTTCTGATTATACAAGATTCAGTTTCGAAGAGGCTCTGGGTTTAATGATTATGTGGGAATCATTTTTTGATTATATGGGAATCAGTACGCACAACACTTTTAACAAAAAGTTTACCGAACGCCAAACTGCTTTCTCTCACAGCAAATCTGACAGCGATTATTTTCACAGCACAGCAATGCCATACTAGCCCTTAATTGAATCCCTCTTCTCAACAATAACTTTTTGTCCAAAATCAAAATTTATTTTCTCCATTCAAATGCAACAAGTTTTTGTATACATTTTACAACTATTATAAATCTATCAATAACTCAGATATGGGTTTAGTCAAGTTAGCTAGAGTGAATGTGCCGATGCACCACATAATTTTCGCAAAAGAAAATATCTATCAATAACAAAATATTTTTCTTTGTTTTTTGTCAAAACCCTTTCTTGCTTTGAGGCCCAAAATAAATATAAAAAAACTCACAATTTTTTTATTTAAATGGTTGCAAATTATTGCAATTTTTATGACGTTGAAGTTTTGTTTTGACACACTGCTGTCAAGTTCAGAAAGGAAGGGTCCAAATCAAAACAAAGCCCATGTTCTGAAAATATTGGGCCAATCAATGTATAAATGGACTCTCACCCAACCACTTAACTGGCATTGAATTTTAAGGCTCAAAGCCTAATCAGCCAATACTAAATTGGCAGGTTTGTATGAAAAGACTATAAGTACGTCAATCAATTTTATGCGTTCCAAATTAATAATTCCAAGATGCATTCAATCACTAGCACAAGTGCAGATCATTGCTGTGGTCCTGTTTGGTGAATATGTGGCTCTGTTTTGGTCACCTGTTGCTAGATTCTCCTTGTGACTTGTGAATCTACTTTTCTTTGCAGCGTGTTTTAGACGAACCCAGTTTCGTGTTGTCTACTTCAGACAAGTCTTCTCACCCATTTATTTTCATGGCAACTTCTATAGCGCACCAGGTCCACTTTAGAATTTTCGTTATTTCCATAAGTCTTCTCTTATCCATCTATTTCCACAAATCTTGTCATCCATTAATTTCCCTAAATTCAATGAAATTCCTATTCAGACCACTTGTGGAAACAAGGAAAATCCGATGTTCTTATTTGGACACTCTCTAGATTCATTTTTGTGCAAATATCTCCCTGCAGTATGTCCTTTGGAGTTTTAAGCACGAGCATGGCTCTTTGTGGGTTGAAGACTTGCACCGTATGAAAGATTAGAACGAAAATCGTACACAACGATTTTCAAACCCACTGATTTCAAACAGCAGTATTTATGATACGAATTTTGCAAGAAAGTTCAACTTTTTTTTCTCAATTAAAAATTATTATGTCAAGAAACTGACTTTAACTTTTTTTATTGTAAAAAACTCTCAAACCCACTGATTCAAGCCATAGCCGCAGAGATGATTTTTATTGCCTGGATTTATGAAAACATCGGCTTTTCCTTTTCTTCTTCTTTTTGATAATTACATTGTCATTTTTATGGTAGGATTCATAGGCATGATTAAGTTTTTTTTTGTCGAAAGTTTGGAAGTTTTATTAAATCAAGAGCTAAGCATCAATAACATCAAGAGCTAAAACACTATGGAGCCACGCTGGGCCAGACTGGTCCCAGACCTCAGAACCCCCAGCTCTAAAGAAATAAGCAGCCACCTCATGTGCTGCGTTGTTACAAAGGCGTGGAATATGACGAAACTCCACCCACTGAAACCGTCTAACTAGAACTTGGATGTCAAACAGTATACCTTCTATTTCTGTCGCACTCAGACTATCCCCCCTGATCATCCGAATAATCTCTTGTGAATCAGACTCTACTTCTACGCTCAAAAACCCATTATGCAGACAAATACCCAACATATCTCGTATAGCCTCTGCTTCGGCCACAAGTGCTGTACCACACCAAGCAATCCTTCGCCCACCTGCTCGCAATAGCTCACCCCACTCAGACCGGATAACCCAACCAACCCCGCCCCTCTTCGTTTGTGCCACCCAAGCCCCATCACAGTTAGCTTTAACAGATCCGGGGAGGGGCTTCTGCCAAGTTCTCCTTGGGGGACAGGTTACGTCTGGTGGTCTTACCAGTTCACTCCTAAGCACCATGGTTGCCGAGTGAGCCCCCCGATATTCATTAGTCTGCATGCGCAAACACCTCACCAAATCTATGGGGTCCAAGGTCTGTCTTTCAAACACTACCGCATTCCTTCCTTTCCAAATTCTCCACAATCCAAAAGCCACAATTTGAAGGATCTCATCAATCTGATCAACCTGAGCAAACTTCTGGAGCAAACACTCCCAACAACTCAGGAAATCTTCTCCGTCTACACCAAGCACATCTAATTGTAAAGGGGTCGCAAACCAAAATAGTCTGGCTATTTCACAACGAAAAAACAAGTGGACCTCAGTTTCACCATTATCACCGCACAGTGGACAGTCAGCCTCCACATCGACACGCCGTCGTCGGAGGTTCTCACGGACAGCTAGCACATTTCTGCAGCACCGCCAGATGAACATCCGTATTTTGGGAGGCACTTGCAAGGCCCAAATACGTTTCCATGGACCACCTTGTCCACTTTGATTGCTGCATTCACCCTCTCCTTTCTGGCCTCCCACTCCATTTCTTCTCAACTTGACTGCCAAGTCGTAACCAGACTTAACGGTATACCTCCCCACTCAGCCACCTCCATTAAACCAGAAAATGAAGAGGAGATTAATCAAAATAGGATAACCAATTAGCCATGAGTGCTCTCCCAACTATCCAGCAGGTAGTCAACCCTCTTTTA